GTGTCCTTTGATTCCGATATCTCTGAAGATGCAACTTTTTCAGTTGCTCCTTCACTACTTATTCCTTTGTTCTCCCCTTCTTGCCGTGTCTCTGAAGTAATCAGTCGTTCTCCTCCCAGCGTTTCAACATCCGTACGAGATAAGCCCGACTCTCCGCTTTCCGATAATACGGATGCATCCGTCACTGTTGGTATGACTGAAGTTGAACTAATTCCGTCAGTTTTTTGGACGTTCTCCCCTTGCAAGCCAACTGTTTCCATTGAGAGCATTGCATCAGTGTTCTCCAGAGTGGTTCTGGTAGTTGTGCTAGTCTCTTGTGATGTTGGTGTTCCTTCAGTGCTTTTTGTTTCTGAGCTATCTGAAGATGCACTTTTTCCAGTTGTTCCCCTATTGTTTTCCCCTCCATTTCTGGAGTTGAAAAATGTGTCAAAGTTAGTATCGGAAGATTGTGATGTTACTTCGGATTCAACTGGAACATTGTTCGAGGTTATTACAGTGGTGGAGTCAGACTCTGTCGAATCAAACTCCGACTCCAATACAATCAGAGATCCCAGCTCTTCTACTTCTGACTCTGCACCGCCATTAGTAAATTGTTCTGTTGCCATCTCGACTGCTTCTGTGCTTGAATGGCCGAGCGTCGTCGTCGTTTCAACGTTTTCTAAGTCGAGAATGCTTACTGTTGACGGTTCCTCTTCTTCTGACATTTCAAGAATTCCGGTTTTTGTTTTGATTACCTCATTGGGGAACGTATTTCGATCAGTATCAGTTTCTGCTGTGGTCGTTGCAATAGCGGATTCTATGGCCACTTCTACTCGATCAACGAGGCCGCTCTCTGTTGATGTTTGTTGAATTGGAATTGTTGTTGTCTCAGTTTGTGCATCCAAAAGCACTTGCACACCTTCAACAATGGTGCTTTCTGTTGATATCCGCATCGTGTCGAACGATCGCGTTGTTCCAACTTCTGAATCCTGTAAATCCAACTCGTCGTTCGTCGTTGCGGGTGTCTTTTCCGTCGTAACCG